GAGAACACGCCGACGCAACAGTCGGCGTCAGCGTCGGACGAGTTCTCTGGTGACTGCTTAGTGTGTCAGGGCCTTTTAGAGCCAATATAATCTAGGGGCAGTGGTTGTCAACGTGGTGGGACCCGTTTCGAGTGGGTCGCGGATGTGTGAGTGAATGAAAAAAAACGTTTATTTTGAAGGCCCAATTTTCTAACGCTGTGCATGCAGTATGCGTTGGACTGGAAGTACCGGAGACCAGTAGTCACGTAGTGATCATCTTCTCAATAAAACATCTTTGCTGTTGTTTTTTCGAGTCTTCTGGCCAATCAGAATCAAGATTGTTGCCGGAAGTCCCCACGGAGAATAACTTTGCGGTAGAACTCTTCTTTATACATCCATGGGTACAACTTCAGATAAAAATGAACACATAATGAAATATGACCCCCGGTTTGATGATTGACAGGTCAAAGAACAATGGGAGCTATCTACCCTTACCCACAATTTAAAGTAAGTCACACAGACTATCTCCTCTTTACTCTTCTGCAAGATGTCAGAACAAAGTGAAAAACAAACAATGGCATAAAATATTATTAATATGTCGGGTAGTAATAGATTTATTTATTTTCTTCTCAGAGTGTACAAGAATGCATAGTTTATGTTAGTATTTACTAAAAATCTCCGTGGGGGAGAATCCCCCCAGACCCCCCTGCTGAGGTTGGGTTTTCACCATGTGCTCCTTTTTATATAGTTCAGCTTTGATTCCATCATCTCATTAAACCTTTAAAAGCATACTTTAGTTCTGTGAAGGGATATAAGGGATATATGCACTGTACTTCACTTGTATTAATATTGTATGCTGAAAAGCGTATATATTAAAGCACGTTTTTTGTTGAATAGATTTGAGTGCTTCAAAATGTTGGGTCGCGATGTATTGACCAAGTAAAAAGTGGGTCCCGAGGCCTGACCAGTTGAGAACCACTGTGCTAACCTTTAACCTTTGTGTGCTGTTTGGGTCTGTGGGACCCGTTTTCAGTGTTTACTAAAAGAACATGTATGCAATTTAATTATTTTAACCTGCTTTATTCCTCCTCTAGGGGGGTCCAGGGGCATGCACCCCCGGGAAGAGTTGTTTTTAAATGTTGAAGTGAAATGCATCAATCTGGTGCACTTTGAGCACAAAATGAATTTATGTATACAACACTCATATGAAAGGGAGCTGTATACTTTTCAATAATCCAAACATCTTTAGAATATGATCACAACCAATAACAAATCATTTAAACTTGTTTATTCTTATCTTATTTTACCTAGTTAGCATTCTTTCTTTTTATTTATGCATATTTTACTAATCACTCCCCTTTTAAACTGTTACAAGAACGTGATTGGTCGATATTCATTGTGGGGGGAGGAGGGGTGTTAGATAGATATAGAGTTGTAGTAAGTAGATAGAGTTCGCTATGATTGAGGTTTCGTTTATGCATAGGGTAGATTATTTTAATTACATTTCCTTTTTTTGTTTTGTGTATTTTTTACATTTTGGATTTGCTTGGCGAGCTATTTATTGAGGGCTTGCGAGCTACCGGTAGCTCGCGATCGACGTGTTGGACACCCCTGCTATATAGCTAGCTTTCACCAAATGTGTGGCTCTTATGATTTCAATTTGTATTATTATTTAACGCCATTTGGTTAAACTGGCAGTGCGGAGCTGTGTCTACAGTTCTGGCAGTGAGAGTAATTATCAAAACATTGTTGACTTGTGCATTCTTTTTTTAAGCCCGCCGCTCCATACAGCCAGCACCTCCTCATTGCACCAACCATCACCATCAATTCTCAAATATGCATTGTTTGGATAAACTGTTCATATATTGGTAATGGAAATGGTAAGTTCATTGCCTTAATAAGTGTTATCACATATTAACAGTACATTCAAAAGCTTAAAATTTTTTATTTGGCAATTAAAATGTTGATGAAGCTGGCAACGCTGTGCAAGGTTATAGCAATTACGCTAAAACTGGAAGTTGAGGTGGATTTGGAGCAACTTTGGTGTAATGCAATTTTGCTGGTTACAGAAGGCCTGTCAAGGAAAGATGAGTGGATAACAGTCCAACATTCTACGCACTGTCCCTTTGAGCATCAGTTACCCTGCTCTTGGTTATATGGTTTGTCTTGTTGTTGTTTATGATTACGCTTACTGATTGACTTCCTGAACGCCCTGAGGGATCGCCTCATTCGGGGTCAAAGGTCAATGTGTCCTCACAAAACATGTTTAAATCCAAAACTCAAGAATTCATATGCAAGTTTTACTAATTTCACACAAACATCTTTCTATGATGAAGTGATAATTTAAAAAAAAGACATGGATGGGGAACCACAGGGGAAGGTATTTTAGTTTTTGTAATTGCTTCCTTCTCGTAAGTTTTTGCTGTCTTAGGAAGGATATTCACACCCAACTTATCTGACTCACTGGTGGAATTTGAAAACATTTGACTGCACAAATTATGGAGTAGAGTGGTGTAAAGTAAATTTACTTAAAGGTGGGGTATGTAATTTATTTCAGAAACACTTTTTGTTATATTCCATGGAATGCTCTTAACATCCTGATAGAAATGATTACATTAAATGCTTTGATAATAAATACATTAAAAAATGTCATCTGTGGAAGCCCTGGTACTGTAAAAAGCACGACCAATGATTTTAGCTGGCCCGGCTAAAATAACTGGATGGCCTACCTGCCTGTCAGCAGAGGCAGATTTTTTCCGGCTGTGTACTTTCAAATTCTAGCGCACTCGAGCTGGTTTCTCCAAAATTACATACACCTTTAAGTGGTAGACTTGCATACAAATTTGCATACCTTATATATTTTAATGACTTTTGGCAACTCTTTTTCTTTTGTATTTTATAAATGAAACATTATAAAGGTAATAAATCAGTAGAAAGTAGTGATATGCTGTATATAGTAAAGTTCCAGTGGTTATCGGAGCACTATGGGTAAGCGCCGATTGACGGTGATTATGCATACTGAGTGCTTTTGATGCTTTAAGCATATTTCAGGTGGAATTACTTCTGTATTAGAATGCAAGACTTTCACTTTGAGGTTGTTATTCAACACTTTTGTAGTATTATCCTTCCTCTCAAGATCAGAATCTCCCAGCATTATGTGAATCCAACAAAAAAATAGAACGGAACATGATGTTGTTGATTGAGAGGTGAATTCAGGGACATTTTTAAGTTCACATTAGTTGGGTTTGATGAATGAAACAATATACTGTACGTGTGGGTGTGAAAGACAGGAATGCTGAGAGGTCAGATCTGCTGCAGGATTAAATATGTGTTTGATTTTATGTGGGAGGGTTAGCATCAGTCATAACACTTATCTTAGCTTTGAGTATCAGTACTTCGTTATTGTTTTTTGAGAAAACTACGATCACTGAAGCGTAACTAAAGCTTTAACAATAGCTTACGGTATTTTTATTCTTTAATTCATTGAAAGTATTGTAAGAGCAATGTTAAATACAGAAGTATTGTAATTGATTGCAATTTTTCTTTCCTTTTTAACTATTTTTGTGCTTACTTTCGTTTTTTTATTTGTCTTTTAAATGCACTCTTTCCCTTTTTTACCCATGGGGATTTGCTTGTTCTTGCTTTTTAGTTTTGACTGTCTTTCAAATGCAAGTGCACTCTGCAAGTTCATTATTTATTGGCATTACCTTCTCCTAAAGTCTAGGGGGAAAAGGGAAGTGACAAAATATTAAATAACCCCGGTGAAAAAAGTTGTTCAACAAGTCAAAGCAAAAAGGTCTCAATGCCAAATAGGAATAACTTTCTTCAAAAGAAAGTGAGAAAAGTAAACAATACAGAAAGATACAATCACAAGCACACCGACCACACTGGTCCCAAGTCTCACACAGAGATACCACACTGGTCCCGACATCCATGCCAACCCAGACTCAGGGACAGTTTCATCCCACAGGTAATAAGGCTGTTAAACCTGAACTGTTGAAGCAAAATCGGGGACACATATTTATGTATAAAATACATCAGAAAGGGCATTTTGCATGATAGGAGACCTTTAGCATTAAGAAATAGTGCAGTTGAAACAACCTCTTAAGTCTATCAGTGCCTGACAGGTGTGGAATTTAAGCAGGTAATATCAGCACTAATGGAAATGCTCTCCCTGCAGCTCAGAGAAATGTTGATTGAGGTGTTGGGCGTGTCTTTGAACAGGTGACACTGTAGGAGGGAGGTGTAGAGGCAAATGAAGTTATTTAATGCCGCAGCAGACCTGCAGAATCGACCCACAGTCATGGCTCTCTACAGGTTGATCTGTGCCGCGGCTCTGCTCTCCCTCCTGACTCAAGGTAAGGGAACTCAGCTGCACCACACACTGACGTACCTCACTGCTGTCTGAGGGAAAGGGGGAATTACTTTAAAAAAAGAGTAGGAGTAGCTGTTGCTCCATAGAGGGAAAAGTACTAATCAAAACGTAATGTGTGTATTTTTTATGATGATTGCATCTCTAAATTATTTTGCTCTGAGTGGAAATCCTGCATTCAATTTTTGATTACATTGCCTTAACTGAAAATATTGCACTTAAAAGGATCAAAATGCAGAGCAGAGTTCATTTAATTGAACTATTATATGCATTAGTAAAATGTTTGAATATGATATAGTAGAGAAAATGTTTTCTTTATTACATTTTCTTTCATTTGCATTTAAAGAAATTATTTAGAAAAATTATTTCTGAAGGAGAAAAACAACCAACTGTATTTATTGAACATAATAAAATAAATCATTCTTGGAAGTTTGCAGTAACTTAGTTGTTGTTGTTGTTGTTGTTGTTAAGTTCAATAAAAGTATTATATCTTGCAGTAAGATGCGTTAGATTAAAGAGAGATGTCAAAACATGACAAATTTGAACCTTTGCAGCTTTTGTCTGCTGGGCAATTCCTGATAATTATAGGTGAGAGTACAATCCGTCTACAACAATATGTGTCCAGTCAATCACTGTCAGTGTCCTTTATCAAGCCTTCTTCTATTGTATACATGTCCCATTATTTTATTAGATCCTCTGAGAGTGAAGCAGCCGCACACAATGCCAGGCTTTAAGTGATTTATTAGTCATAGAAACCAACTTTTAGTTCTGCTTTAAATTTCCATTGTATTTTATTACTTAATTATATATTTAGTGTAATAGAATTGCCATGTTTAAGATGTGGTTATAATCAAACTCATATCGATTGATTTTCCTTAGTTTTAAGTTATTTTGTGGTACATAAATCCTCTTGTATTTACATTTTAAAGACTTTATTTTTCATGAAACCAGAAACATTTGGCTTATATTAAAGAGGAATTAGTGTCAATGTAATTATTTAAGGACAGGAAATTCAGTGGTTAAAAAATATTTAATACCTTAGCGTATTAAAGTACTGCTTTGAGAATCTTAATTACATAGATGTTATCATCAAAATACGCTTGAGATACCAAAAGTGAAGTTATCGTTCGAAATAATAGTTCAGAAACGCATAGAATGCGTCCTTTATTGCAAAAAAGTTGTATGAATATCTTTTTTTGTGATACATTGCCTTGCCGTTGATCATGCACTAAAAGTACAAAAGTGGGATTTATTTAGTTTAAATAACAGTCAATCTGTAAAACAGTTGCTAAAACAACTTTTGCCAGTGAACTTTACCACATTAAATATGTTAAATATATATATTTTAAAGGAACATTTTACTATTGTCCCTTTTTTAAAGAGAGGGAAATATGTACTTTTGTATTCATAAATACTTATATATTAATAATAATAATTCACAATAATAATAGAAAATGTTGAATGTAAAAAAATGAATATTCATATTAGGTACTTGTAGTTTGAGTATTTCCATCTCCTGCTACTTTACACTTCTAATCCACCACAATTTGAGGAAGTATTGTACTTCTTACTTTATTTCATATGCTCACTTAAATTACTTACTTAAGACACAACAATATTAAATAATGATTTATTATTGGTAATATTTATTTACCCAGCAGTATATTTTTCAAAGTTCCAGATGCACCTTTTTTTTTTAAAGATGAGCACAACAATGCATACATAATAATATGATTATTTAACATATAAGAAATATTCAAGTACAAGTAACAACAATGATAATAATAATAATAGATTACATTTATTATAGCGCCCTTCAAGGGATCCAAGGCCGCTTTACATGGTGTGAACGAACAAACAAACAACCAAACAAGTTGGGCAAATAATTGTTCATGGTGGAGAAATGTCGTGCTCTAAGAGAAATGTGGCCTTTCTGGTCTCTATGAATGTTTGTATGTATGTTTGACTCAACAATGGAGCCAGTAAAACCAGTTTTGTTGACACCAGACAACATGTTAAGGCCCAGATACACCGGCCAGTCACCTGAGAAGTCGCTGACGCCGACACTGACTGTTGCGTCGCCGGACTCTCCAGCGTATTTGCCGACTTCGCGCACTGGAACACACCGCAAATCCGAGCCGAGCACGTATGAACTGCGTATGCGTGAGTGGCAATAACTCTCCTTACCAGCAGGCGGCGGTAGTGTGTATTCATCATTCAAAAGAGGCAACAACCGGAAGAACCGGAAGACAGAGAAGAAGAACAGACTCCGTGATATAAACAAACAACAAATAGCGTTTTTCTTTCCATTTTCACTCTCGTCCATTGAAAACATGAACGAACAGGAGCTCCATAAACCGAAACTCTATAAATTCGCTAGCTGAACAGCCAATCAGTGTTATCCCTTTGTCCGACTTCCGGCCCGAAATCGGCAGTAAATGGGAGTCGGGCCGAACATGAGCATGGGCACGCCATATTCGGAGTGGTGTGCGCCGCACCATCGGGACTTTTCTGCCGACCTGACGCCTTTTCTTGCCGATTGGGATAACACTGATTGGCTGTTCAGCTAGCGAATCAGTGCATGAGAAGCGTAAACGGAAGTGAGGGAGGTAAACAAATGATTTAAAATGGAAGATGGAACACACACGGACGGCTATTTCACCTCATCGGTTTATAGAGCTCCTGTTCGTTCATGTTTTCAATGGACGAGAGTGAAAATGGAAAGAAAAATGCTATCTGTTGTTTGTTTATATCACGGAGTCTGTTCTTCTTCTCTGTCTTCCGGTTGTTCCGGTTGTTGCCTCTTTTGAAAGATGAATACACACTACCGCCGCCTGCTGGTAAGGAGAGTTATTGCCACACACGCATACGCAGTTCATATGTGCTCGGCTCGGATTTGCGNGTGAGTCAGGATGTGCAGAGCTTCATCTAAACGGCCCAGATACACCGGCCCGAAATCGGCAGTAAATGGGAGTCGGGCCGAACATGAGCGTGGGCACGCCCTATTCGGAGTGGTGTGCGCCGCACCGTCGGGTCTTTCTGCCGACCTGACGCCTTGAATCGGCGTCGAGAACACCACCGGAAGTCGGACAAAGGGATAACACTGATTGGCTGTTCAGCTAGCGAATCAGTGCATGAGAAGCGTTAACGGAAGTGAGGGAGGTAAACAAATGATTTAACACCAGCGTGAGTCCAAGGGCTGCTAGCTCCAGTACCTCCCGTTCGTCCTGCTCCTGTTCGTTCATGTTTTCAATGGACGAGAGTGAAAATGGAAAGAAAAACGCTATTTGTTGTTTATTTATATCACGGAGTCTGTTCTTCTTCTCTGTCTTCCGGTTGTTCCGGTTGTTGCCTCTTTTGAAAGATGAATACACACTACCGCCGCCTGCTGGTAAGGAGAGTTATTGCCACACACGCATACGCAGTTCATATGTGCTCGGCTCGGATTTGCGGTGTGTTCCAGTGCGCAAAGTCGGCAAATACGCAGGAGAGTCCGGCGAAGCAACAGTCGTTGTCGGCGTCGGCGACTTCTCAGGTGACTGGCCGGTGTATCTGGGCCTTTACACAACCTTAACTATGTGCAAATGGCAGATGAAAAAACACGCCAACACAACAACTCATAAATAACACACAAAAGAAACAGCAGTGTTTGTCGGGGCTATTATTACTTTGTAGGTATTTTTTATATTGCTGTACTAGATATTTTTCTAAACAGATGTAATGGCAGTACAGTTGGTTATATGTTTCCAGTGTGAAGCATGCCGTTGTTTCCAGTGTTCAAACAAACAAACCTGCAGGTATTCATTATATAACACCAGGATGAATACCGGGTGGGGCTCCTCTCTTTTATTTCCCACCCAATTCACTTCATTTAATGTTATTTATTAATATAATTATGTATTCATTGATATAACATAATTTCATACGTGTGTGGGTGTGTGCATATATTTGTATATATTTACTAATCAAATAAAAGTGATGCCAAAACAAGAAATGAAAGATAAATAAATGTAAAAACATAATTACCAGGTTTTTAAAGCATTATATCTTAAATTTGTGAACGATTTTTATAAAAGTTGGCTTAAGGGAAATGTAGGATACAGTGCCTGTGTGTGTATGGTAATAAATGACATGGATATACAATTTAATAATAATCAAATTAATATTATTAAATTATCCCAGAACAGAAGAGAAAAATTAAAGAAAAGTAGACCGTTCTTTAGTGAGTTAGGCAAATTTGAAATAAAGAATTAAGTAAATATCATTATAGAAACATAAGTATGTTCATTCATAACTGTTTCATCAATATGTTTGTTTTTCTATTTTTCAGAGTCTCATTCACAACTAAATGGTAAGTCGAAGTTTTATGGACTTTTTTATTTACTTCCGTTAACACTTTGTGTTATTTTTAACAATTTGCTTGATATATCTTTGCTATTATTTTTGTTCATTCATGTTACAATTCATTCTCTTATAAAACACAACAACTTAAAAAAATGAGACCCCCTGCTAAAGACCAGTGTGTGCTGAACTCAATTACACTCAGCGCCACACATGAGAATGAAATGAGAATCCCACCAGGGGCCAGTCTCCAGACACATGCAGTTTATTAAAATACTATTATCTATTCCAAAAAAAACAAAATCCACAAAAACTCTAAAAAGTTGCTTAGTCATCATATCATTTACATGTCGTCACTAACAGCCTATAGACTTCTGGCAATCAGATGCACATACAAACCTCAAAATTACAAATGTAACTTTGCAGTCAATCAGAATCAATCAATATGACAACTCGATATAAAACCCGGGAGAGCAGAGGGGCTCACTGTGTTGTGTTGTGTGTCTCTGTCAGAGTGCGGTAAGCCTGCGCTCAACACCAGGATCGTTGGAGGACAGGCGGCGCCTGAGGGCAGCTGGCCCTGGCAGGCCAGCCTGACTCGATCAGGCAATCACTTCTGTGGAGGGTCCCTCATTAACAGTGAATGGGTGCTGACTGCGGCTCACTGCTTCCCAAGGTGTGTCCTATATCCTATAATGAAATGTATTTATGTGACTTAATTCACGAGGAAATATTATTCTAATTTTTAGGTTCATATTTGTATTTTGTTCCTCCACTGTGACATGTCTCCATGCTTTAATGTTCAGAAAGCTCTTAATTGTTCTCATACTGCCTGTGCTGCAACACCTCTTTTCACCCTCTGTCTGAAACCAGAGCCCAGTCTGCTCTGATTGGTTAGCTGGCTGGCTCTGATGTAATTGGTCAACCGCTTAGAGATTTTCCGCCCCTTAGCCTATCATGTACAATTTGTTGGAGCGGGGGGTAGTACTGTGAACCCAACCCCAAGCACTACTTTTTCTGCACAGCTCTTCCAGTTTTAATTTAGATATACTGCTTTTTTTTATAGTAATTGGTCATATTGTTATACTTTCTGTAATTATGGTACATTTAGTCTTATATCTGGTTTGTGTTATAATTGGTTACATTTATTTTACTTTATAATAGTTTATAAGTACATTTTTTTTAAAGTCTTATTTTACAATTTATTTTAAGCATCGGTAAACCCCAAAGCAAATGCCCTTTACAGTATGTGAAAAATTACTTTACCTGATTCTGATCATTTGAATTTTCATGAATCAATCAATTTATAATTGTTTTAATTTATGTCACTTCACTACGTGAGTTATCATCTGTTTACTATGATATAAGTTTACTAATATTTGTTTTTCTTTTTTAACTCTCCAGTACCGGCACAGACAAACTGATTGTGTATCTGGGTCGCCTAAATCTAGAAGTCGCCAACTCTAACGAGGTGTCGAGGACGGTTACACAGATCATCAATCACCCTGCCTTCAACTCCATTAAGAGCGACAATGACATCTGCCTCCTGAAGCTCTCCTCTCCGGTCAACTTCACCAACTACATCGCTCCCGTGTGCCTGGCAGCCTCGGAGAGCACCTTCTTCAGCGGCACCGACTCCTGGGTCACCGGCTGGGGGGCCATCGCATCTCAAAGTGGGTTCAGAAGGCAACATTTATTTTATTATTGCAAGGTCACAACTCTGCTGTTTAAATGCAACAGACATTTAGATTTCCATTGAGCACTTAACTGAGCACTCATAAGGGTGTCCCAACAAAAAATACATTTCAAAACACACTGAAAAATTGCACAAATTACAAAAACGTTTCACAAATGTCAAAATCAAATCAGAAAACTCAAACATATTTCACAAAAACATAAAACAAAAAAAAACTCAAAATATATTTTACGAACCACACATTTAACAAACATTACATTTTGTCAAATGTCATTATGTTATGTATAAGGTTGTTTTAACATTATTAGAAACAAAAAAAAAGTTTGATGATACGTTCAAGCACTGTAATACTTCATAATTGCAGTAGTTGTAATTTTAAAATGCAGTAAAAATGCTGTGCTCTTAAAGAAGTGTGTATTTGTGTCTCTTCAGCTCCTCTTCCATCCCCAAAAAGCCTCATGGAGGTGGAGGTGCCCATCGTGGGGAACAGGCAGTGCAAATGTGACTATCGAGTGAATACAATCACAGACAACATGATCTGCGCCGGGCTCCGGGCCGGAGGGAAGGACTCCTGTCAGGTGAGCATCTTTGACCCAACCTTCTCCAATCCTTTCTGTTATACAGTATCTATCTTAAAATGGTGCATGTGTACCCTAATAGACTGGTGTCTGGATGACGTATTTTTGTGGTCTGACCCTGAACTCAGCATCTTACTGTTTCCCTCCACAAAACACATTCATGATACTTGTTTTGGTTCAAGCTCTACATATTCACACCACTTTATGGTTTTTGAAGCATTAATGCAATCAAACAGCTAACATTAGCTGTGAAGGAACAACAGCACAGTCACATGACTTCACCTTTCCTCCGCTAAGCTAAGGGTGGTTAATGTTCGATGACGTTTAGTAGTGTCCTTTAATTTCTTCAACTGTGCTCAGAAATTCACAAATGGGGTATTTTAATGACGTATTTTTATGTAGAACAATAACAAAACGGAACAGTTTTAATGCAGGATCAATACCTTTTAAGTAGGTACTTTAACTAGGCTAGATTTAGCTGATTGCATACTCAAAGAAACGTTACTTGTAGTGGACTTTTTTCAGAGTCTGGAATTAATATTTTTACTGCATTCAAGAACCTGAAGACTTTCATATTTGACGTTCCGCAAAGACCCTTTTCTAAATGTGTCTCTCATTAAAGGGGGACTCAGGCGGTCCGCTTGTGAGTAAGCAGGGCGGCCGCTGGATCCAGGGCGGAGTTGTGAGTTTTGGGGAAGGTTGCGCCTTACCTAATTTCCCAGGAGTCTACTCCAAAGTTTCCCGGTATCAGGCCTGGATCAACAGCCTAATCACCAGCAACCAGCCGGGCTTCGTGACCTTCATATCCACAGGGACTGACAGCGACCTCAGCGTGTCCTGTCCCGGCCTGCCCCCCCTTCCAACCTCCACCCCTATACCCCCACGTGAGTACCTGTCACCTGTCAGTCATTTGCAACAGAAATGTAGAAAAGCCGGATTTAATATGGTTGTTTCATTTTGTTGAAAGATTAGCGTCAATGGTTTTTACAGAGGAGATTTTGGAAATGTCTTTTTCACTCCATTAATTTGAAAAAAACATACTTTACATCAGACTTTCAGAATTTAAATAGGAATACAACTGTACATTTGATTGTATGCAATTGCTACTCGATCTCTTGAATGAGATAATACGCATTTTTAGAAAATGGCTTTTAGAGATATATATTGTAAAACTCTTACATGTTGTACACACTACAGGTGAAAGGGTAAACATTTTACTGATAGATTTCACCACAAAACTTTCCTAATAGATAACTTGCATTAAGGCAAATATGTGTTGTATTACAAGTTTTCTGAAATATTAGTGATACATTTTCAAATGATGTATTATTTACTGCTCGCTTTTGAAATGTACACAAATAGAGAAAAACTAAATGTGTATTTGGAATGTTTGCTCTTTTTATAAATTCAGTTTAAGCTTGTTCCACTTTACATTGTAGCTGTATAATTCATACTTTGAAAATTGAAGAATTATGTGTATCATCCACTCCCCCACGAAATTTCACCCTGAAATGTTTGCTGTATTTGGAAACTTTCAAATATTAAGTTCTGTGTAATACTGTGTCTTCAGCACCTGAGTTTAATATCTTTAAATGTGTACGTTGTGATTGTACAGCAAAGGCCACTTCAAAGCTGCCAAACTCTGGAAAAACCACACCTCAACCTCCACCCACTGGTAGGAGCTTTAGGACTTTATATTCCAACACCATAGTTTACATCTAAAACAAGATTATAGCAGTTTTCCTCAAGTACTGTACTTATGTACATTGAGTATTAGGTATTAACATATATATGTATAATACTTATCTTCTCAGAAGTACTCAAAGTATCCAAACTTTGTTGACATTGACAAATAACAACATAAAACACTCTTATGTAATTGTAAGTGATAAAACTTGCAAATCATGTATTACTTATGTAATGCTTGTTTTTGGTGAATTTAGGAGAAATGTACCCACATAGAGAATTTTTTAAAAACTATTAGCAACTAATTGTGCATTTTGGAATTTTCTCTTGTGTTACACGTTCAGTATAACGTTGTACCACTTTACATTGAAGCTGTATGTTGTTTACACATGCTAAAATAGGAATTGATTATAGCAGTTTTACTCAAGTACTGTACATAAGTACAATTTAAGGTATTTGTACTTTGAGTATTAACATTGTTTTTGTTAATAGTTAAATAACTAACATGAGTAATTGTGTTGTAGGACACTAAAGTCAAATATAAAAACATTGCTTAAAAATTTGTAAGTTATAGTAAAAATGTGCAATGCATAATGAAATAAAATAAAGATATTTATATCTTTACATATGTAATTCAAGTTAAATGTCCAATAAATGTTCAAATACAATAATATAGAATACGAATATTTATATTGACATTAGTTAAAGTAAGATTGTGCTGCAAAAACATACAATTAAATAAAGATACTTAAATAAACATAAGTAGTTGAATTAAAATGTCCAATAAAAGATCAAATAAAATGTAAAAGGGTTTGGCTGCTGATGGTTAAGTGAGTCTCTTGGTGAGGGAGGAGTTAAGAGTCTGATGGCCACAGGGAGAAATGACTTCCTTTTTGATGGCCACAGGCAGGAATGACTTCATGTGGTGCTCTGTGGAGCATCTTGGTGTAAAGAGTTGTTCTCTGAAGCTGCTCTTGTGGATTTATTTTTCAAAAGTTATTAATAAAACTAGGTTTGGTTCAGGTTCATTGCTTTGCTGTTTTTTATGTTATCTACTGACTAACCCTTTTCCTTTTGTCTTTGTTTTTAGCTGTATGTCTATAGCTGTGTTAAGTGCTTTGAGAGCAACAAGAAACTAACGTTCAAAAATCTGATTGTGATTGTTTCTCCAGCTGTGTTCTGTGGCAAAGCCCCGATGAATTCACGTATTGCTGGAGGAAGCTCGGTTGCGACGGCCGGCGAGTGGCCCTGGATGGTGAGTCTGCAGAAGAACGGGAGTCATGTGTGTGGCGGGACTCTGGTGGCCGAGGACGCCGTCTTGAGCAACGCCGAATGCTTCACAAGGTGAGACACCTGGAGTAATGGTTCCGACAAATGACGACCAAAGTATGTCCAACTTTAGTCGTAAGATGGTCTTCTCAAAGGCTGCATTGTCACTGCTTTGTAACTACAGTGTGCTAAAACCACAGACGTAAGTCTAGCCTATACAACAACGCACTGTGTCAATGGTTTTTATATTGGACTTTATGGAAAACGCCTATTTTAAACCAATCAGAGGTTTGGAAGTTTTGAGTTCTCTTCAGTCAGATGTCTATAGAGAACTAGATACAACGTCGGAGGCGGGGCCCCGTTCGTTCCTATGAAAGTGGCACATGAAGCCCGAAATGGAAAGACTACAGATTCAAAAAGTACCCGACCTGGGCCCATAGAGCATGAGCACTTGAGTTTTCCTTTAGCCCCGACTCCAATCTCCCACTCTTGGTTCCGTCATGGAGAGGGAAAAAACCCTGGATTCTGCATTTCTACAGCTTTTAGACTCTAATGATTTAAATATTGGATAGGAAAGTTTTCGGACTAGGTAGTTTTTTTTAAGCTAAAAAAGAATTATCCGCTGATTTACAGACGTTTATTTCACAATGTAATTCAATTGGGGAAAAGCATGTTAGGGCCAAAATGACGTAATTGACTGGAAAGTATGTGTAGTACCGCCGTTTGGCCACTTCGAAAATGTGCTTAAACAGCCGGCGCTCTTCCTGGAGGCTTGCTCAGTCCTTGGAATTCGGTGCTCTCTGGGGCGGCACAGCCATCTTTGTAGGAAAGCTTTTATAGCAAAGGCAGCCGCTGTCATTTTCTATGCTGAATGACTGAATGATAACTAGATGTTGACTTATGCTGCACAATTAATCTACGGCTATATTTATATATATTTTGCGACAATTTAGGTCTTAAATGAAATGTTCTGTTTCAGGTTTACTGTAGTTCAGCAATTATTTTAGAAACTCGCATTAAACAGTCAGCAGTTGGCTTCTACCGTATTGTTGTTACAATCAACAACAATGCCAAGTTAAAATAGTTCCAGTTGAACCAGTAAACCAGTTACTTTACTGGCTGCACAGGTTAGTATACATATTGTGGTCGCAGGTATCCTCAAAAGATGGCCAAACTGCTGTTGATGTTGTCTCTTTCCTATTCCTTATGGAGTGTTGCAGGGATACCGTATTTCTGTAGGGGAACCTTGAAGTGAGCATATTCCCGGTTCCCTCTGCAAAAATCCAATGGAAATTAGATTTTTGGGTTATTTCAGAAAGTATGCCATGTGGCAAACAAACGATTATGATAGTTGCATGTTTTGCTCAACAGAATAATCCCTTTTGTTAACACCACTTTTATAATTCTTCAAAAGTAAAAAGCTAACGTTAGGCTGTACGCAGGAAACATACGACTGTCACATTACATTACATTACATTGCATTTAGCTGACGCTTTTATCCAAAGCGACTTACAATAAGTGCGTCCGACCAACAAAATACAAACTTGAAGAAAACAGAATCATATAATTACATCAGGTTTCATAGAACTAAAACATTTCAAGTGCTACTCAACTGGCTTTAGATAAGCCAGTCCTTTATTAGTATATAAGTGCTTTGTTAATAGTTCTATCGCTCGAAGTGGAGTCGAAAGAGATGAGTTTTCAGTCTGCGCCGGAAGATGTGTAAGCTTTCTGCTGTCCTGATGTCAATGGGGAGCTCATTCCACCATTTTGGAGCCAGGATAGCAAACCCACGTGTTTTTGCTGATGGGAACTTGGGTCCCCCTCGCAGTGCGGGTGCAGCGAGCTGTTTGGCTGATGCAGAGCGGAGTGCACGTGCTGGGGTGTACGGTTTAACCATGTCCTGGATGTAGGAAGGGCCAGATCCATTCGCAGCATGGTACGCAAGTACCATTGTCTTGAAGTGGATTCTAGCAGTTACCGGAAGCCAGTGAAGGCAGCGGAGGAGCGGCGTGGTGTGGGAGAATTTAGGAAGGTTGAAGACCAAACGAGCCGCTGCATTCTGGATGAGCTGCAGAGGTCGGATGGCACATGCAGGTAGACCAGCCAGGTGGGAGTTGCAGTAGTCTAGGCTTGAGATGACGAGAGCCTGGACCAGAACCTGCGCTGATTTCTGGGTCAGCTGGGGACGTATCCTTCTGATGTTGTAAAGCGTGTATCTGCAGCAGCGGGTTGTAGCAGCAATGTTTGCAGTGAAGGACAGTTTGTTATCTAGGATCACACCCAGATTCCTTGCAGTCTGAGTCGGGGAAACCACAGAGGTGCCGAAATTGGTTTCGCCCCTCACGTACCACGATCCCACTATGCGCAAATTGGTACAGGAACTAATCCTTCCCGTCTAGTAAGCGTCGTTACCATGCGTGTCGAATGGTAACAGAACCTCACCTAAAGATCGTCAATGCCTTTCGGTCACTTCCCTCGCGCTCTCGCGCACCACACCCTCTTAAATCCTCCAACTTCCCTGTTTGCTCCCGGCAAGACGTAAGTACTCTCGACGTCTCCAGCTAGCGCGGTGTACGGGTCCCAGCATGAGACCACCCCTCAACGTCAATCAGATCCGGACTCTTACGTGCTTCGGACCTGGTATGGACGCAGCGAAAGACGCCAGTCCGCGACCCCTGCATAGGAGAGACTACAACATTTCGGCACATAGACGGGGCGTCGCCCAACAATCGTCGCTACAAACGTCACTTCGCGTCAAACAATAGATCCAGATGTGGGGTCTAAGGAACGTCAGACTACATTAGGCACTGAGTGTTCGGACATACGTCGTCACCATTTACCATTGTTTATTAAATGAGTTGTCGACATGAACCCCATTGTTTATACTGCAAGAACATGATATATTATACTCTATGAACATTTACTCAAAAGGTAAAATACTTTGAGTCTTTTACGTCGGCATGTACAATGTGTAAGTATGTGTCCATGTCGAATAGTACTACGTTTTTGCAGTATCAATATCTCTTTTGTGACCCTTTGTAAAAATGTGTTGTTACTCGACGAAGAAGGTAATTCTTTTTACAACGAGTATGATAATGTAGGAGACTGTCTTCCAATTCAAAATTTCCTGAAATGGACGTCAACGGCAGACTACATTTATTTAATGCTCATTAATAGAGACGAGGAAAAGGAACGACTATGAAACTCGTGCGAAGGTAGTTTGTTGAGAGGACAATAAAGGTAAGGTCATGGAAAATTTAGACCTAGGCTTGCAGTGAGTCAGACGTCAAGTTTCGTCCAGGGAGTTGGCTTTCGACGGAGACGACAGTACTCCTTGACATTATGACGATATCGTCGTAGGAAAGAGAGAAATAGTACGCGAAACTTCAACAGACACGTAAGCTGTGCCACTTACTAGTCACAGAGGATAGCGTAGAGGGTTACTTAACTCAAAGTGCAAGACGTGGAAAGGGAGGAGGTGAGTATGGAGTTCTCTGGACGAGTCCATAGCCTCACACAGGCACAGACTGGGACATTACAGATGACCTAGGGGTCGAGACAAGAATCTTGAGGAGCGAGGCAACCTTTGTTTGGCGAGCTATCAGTAATCGGTGCGTACGAGTATGGTGACATGCGACTGCTGTGCGTTATTAAGACAGGAAGGGGCGATCATTGGTCAGCAGCATCGACCCTGTAGAGAGTCATTTACAGACGAAGTGGTGAGTTCGAGTTGGAACTGGTTGACTTTGACGAAAAGGAAGGCCTTTTCTAACAGGTGAAGACTCGGATNGGTTTCTTTAGGAGAGGGTTTACTCTTGCCTCCTTGAGACTGTTTGGAAAGTGACCAGAAGTTAGAGAAGTGTTGATGAAATGGGTGAGAAACGGTAGAATATCAGGAGCGATAGTCTGAAGGAGGTTTGAGGGGATAGGGCAGAGGTAATGAGGGTAAGAACCTCACTTGGAGAGAGAGGGGAAACATAGGTTAGTGTGTGGGTGAAGGGAGGGTCTGGTGACCCAGTGGTGAGTAAAGATGAGTCAGAAAAAGAAGAGCGAATATCATCAACCTTTTTTTCAAAGTGGTTAACAAAGTCGCTTGACAGAAGGGAGGAGGGGGAAGGGGCTTTGGGGGGGTCCAAGAGGGTGGAGAAGATGGAAAATCGTTTTTTGGGATTGGAATAGGAAGATTGGATCTTATCTTGAAAGAAAGTGCTTTTTGCCTGAGAGATGGAAGCAGAGAAAGAGGAGAGGAAAGCCTGATAGGTTAGGAGGTCGTCATGGTGTTTGGATTTCCACCATTTCCGCTCTGCTGCCCGAAGGATGGTTCTTTTAGCACGCAGTGCGTCATTTAGCCAGGGAGCAGGAGGGGACTGACGAGCCAAACATGGCAACGCTAAGCTAAACTACGGTTATCGCTAGGATAAAGATGGCTAATGTTCAGGGGGGTTACATTAAGTATTCACATTTAGACAATAGTGAGCTACCCGCTTTTAAGACAAGCTTTAGAAATTCACAAAGAACATATTTACCGATGTATTTTATGTCATTAAACAAACAAATCTCTGAAGCTTATTTTAAGCATTTAACCAAAATGTTTTAAATAATTTCAGGGTTTTAGGACTCATTCTGCAGGTCAATATTGAGTTCATGTTTTATCTCCCACAGTTCCCCCTCAGCGTCTGATTGGACCGTTGTGTTGGGTCGGCTGAAACAGAACGGTTCCAACCCCTTTGAGGTGGAAAGGAACGTGTCAAACATCACTCTGAGCACGATGACGGGGTCTAATGTAGCCGTGCTGCACCTGCACACCAAGCCCACCCTGTCCGACTACATCCAGCCCATCTGCATGGACAATGGACGGACCTTTTCCGTGGGAACGTCCTGCTGGGTTGCTGGTTGGAGCTCTGCGAAAGGAGGAGGTGAGATTAAACATTTGCACACTAATATAGGCACTTACAAAGTGCCTCAAGTCCAGGTTTTTAGCAATTTAGATGTTTAATTTCCCGTCTTTTTTTTTGTTCTTCCACTCTTCAGAAAAACAAGTCCTGCAGGATTTTAAGACCTCTGTGGAAAATTGTGGGAACGCGTCGTCGAGTGACATTTTATGTACCAGCACTTTTACACTGGATCCAGTAAGTTATTTATTTTTTCTTTCTTTATGTAGTTAGCCTATATTTCTGTGTTGCTCAATATTTTAATTTAGGAGATTATTTCACTTTCATATGCTTTTTCAGTTTTATAAATGTGTTTTAGGGTCTTTTAACATTGGACACTTAAAAAATTACATTGGAAACACAAGTTGAACATTTTTAAAATAGGCTCCATAACAAAGCTGTCTACAAGCACTACACTATTTCTACAAGCCGTAAGAAGGTATTGTTTGTGCAGCACATCAGAACGGGGATTCATACAAAACTACTGCTTATATTCAAGTATGCAGACTATCAAAACTATACTCGCATGTCGGCTTAGGTGGTATTTTCCTTTATTCTATAAGCACACATCAAGGAGTATGTGAATATTCATATATCGTCTTTTGATTAATATCTACATAATTAAATACATAAAGATTTTTATTTTATTTTATGTGATTTACTTTTTGTACCCTACAGTGTCGTATAGTTAGTTTTTTTAATAGTTAGTTAGTCATTTTATATATCACGACTGCCATAGCACAGTTGCACATTTGCAGAAATAAATAGTTAAATAAATAAAAAGAGTTAATGGATGACATACAAATGTTTTTTATTGTGTAGTACAAAAATGCAAACATGTATTTTATTTCCTTTGATGCATAGCTTCTAAAGCGATGATTGAGAGTGGTATCTTTTTATAAAAGTGTATGTAGTCACGTAGGCTGTTGATTGGCTTTGATTTTAATTAAGAGGTAGTAATGAAGTAGTTAGGGTTAGGTTTCTTTTTAATTATATATAAGATTATCAGCAAGACAATCAGCAGCTTACAGAGGTAATATTGTTTCACCATCCCTCCTAAATGTTGTGTGTCTGTGTGTTCAGACTGACTCTGGCGGTCCGATGATGTGTAAGCAGGACGGCTCCTGGTTCCAGGCGGTGGTGCTCTCAGCTGAAAGCACTGCCAATAAGACCAGAACAAAAGCAGCAGCAGTGAAGGAAAATACAAAACTCAGCCGCTTCAAGAGCTTCCTGGCTTCAAATGTGGGCTTCTTATCTTCAGGCACCTCCAGCAACGCCACCGCTGCCCCCACGCTGCCCACCAACAGCGGGGGGAGCCCTGCTCTCTGCCCCCTCTTCTTCCTCCTCCATCTCCTCATCTTCTCCACCTGTCTCCGACTCTTTTTGTAGAAAAGCTCAAACTTTGTAAATTGTGATTTACATGATGTGGCGATCACAAATGAATGTAATCTTTAATTAATTAATTACTTAATTTAAGAGAAGATTTAGCTCAAAGCTGCATCTATGACTTAATTTTGTGAGCACTTGGCGTAGAGAGGTAGTTAAATCAGACATCCGGGGGGAAATAACAACTTAAGGAGCTGCAATAAGCACAGCAATGCAAAAATAAATCCTATCAGAGAGGCTAATTTCTGTTTAAACAATCCTTATTCAACTGCAGGGTACATGTTGCAGAAACCTCCTATTTTAAGGAAGGAAAGGAAGAGTTAAACACTGTGTCCACACAGCGTCTCTTTCTGAGCGCCTTTTTTCATTTATGTCTGCTCTAGAAACCAACACTACTTTTCTCGTAAGTAAAGAAACGCACTGTAAATATAGAGAAATAATACCACACCTTTATGAAAAAATATATAATGAAGATGTAAAAACTCAGGGCACTATAAGGTACAGGATTGGTGGATTATTTTTTTCTTTTTCTTAGAGTTCCCAACCCTGAGGGTTTTACATAAAGCAACATTTTAAATATTTGTAAAGAAATGTGTGCATGTACAGAGATACATTTCTAAAAGAAAGTTAAAAATAAACTTTTAAATGTGAATTACTTTGAAGGAGATTAATCTGAAGCCAGCTTCACTGCTCTATCACAAAATAAAACATGTTTACATTCATTTTGTGATCCTGTACGCTAACTGCTCCAGTCTAAAAATGAAGAATTGTTTGAGCTGCACTGAAAAACAGTCTAGTACGGTTTATGAAGCTATGGACCATACGGCTATATGCACGTTTTTTTATAATTATTTTTTTAATCACTACAATAATGAAATGTGTGAAATCTTTGTAATATATAATCTTCTACGTACTGAGTAATATTTTGTGAGAACTTTATAATTGTTTATCCTCAAAGTTACATTTATTATGGATCCAGATATAACACACATGGCCTTCTTTTACATCTTTTACAAAGACGTCAACTCCAACTGACGTAGAAGCAGATGGTGTATATTGATACAATTGGACGGATTATTGAACAAATGTAAGATTTAAGGAACACTGAGAGCCCTTGTCTACCTCATAATATCATGGAGCTAACATGTCAACATCTATAAAAAACATTTGCTCTTAAAATACTTCAGCTGCACTTTTCATGGATCATAAGTCTGCCAAGTCTTGCCGTGGATTACACATGCTCTTTAACTGTGAAATAATTGTAAACATTTTTTTGATTTGATGCGATAATGACCTTTTTGAAATATTTCTGTGTTTTCTTTACAAACATCCTGAAGCATATTAATAATTCTCTTTATTGTTTTGGTTCATATCGAGATGATTAAATACATAATGAAAATGTGTTGTGAGTTCATCTCTCTGGTGCGCTACATTTTCACTTAATTATAAAAATAAAAAGATTCTGAGCCCACCCGAGAAAACCACCATTTACAGGTTGGGGTCAGTAAAAAATGTGGATAGATAAATTGTTGCCTATAATAGATCAATAAATAAATAAGGGTTTGATGAAAGAGCATGGTTAAAGGGGCCCTGTTAGGCTCCAATAGATGAGAGTAACACCTACGTCACTTCCGGGCGAAAAGTACGGCCCCGCCCACTTTTGGGGGAAAACAACGCTGTCATTTGAATGGCGGTCAATAGAAATTCTGATTTTTGTCTTTCAATCCGATCAGAAATGGAAAACCGTGGATTTTTGGATCTTCAAAGAGCCCGATTACGATGGCCAGTTAGGCAAACAATTACATGAAATCATTTGAAATCGACAATTGGGCTCGATATATGGTTAAATTAAAATCAGTAGGCGAGGCTGTAATTTTCGCCGGCTGACTCTCTCATGACTGAGGCGGAAAATAATAGTTTTATCATGCCAAAAAGCTGCTGTGTCGTTTATTGCACCACAAACATTAAAACAAATCCAGAGTTACGTGTTTCTGTACTTCCTCTAAGAAGAAAGGACAGTAAAAGAAGAGCTCTGTGGCTTCAGGCTTGATCACCATTCAAATGACAGCGTTGGTTTCCCCCAAAAGTGGGCGGGGCCGTAAAGTGACGTAGATGTTACGCTCATCTATGGACATCGATCGCCTACTGCTATATTTAACCATATATCGAGCCCGATCGTCGATTTCCAATGATTTAATGTAATTGTTTGCCTGTCTGGCCATTGCTCTTAAAAGATCCAAAAATCCACGGTTGTCCCATTTAGTCACAAATAGTTCAAAGTATTCAGTGAGAGAGGATAAAAGGATAAAAACCTCCATTCTGCTATGTAATCCTGAGTCAATGGATATCAATATACTACTGTATATCAAGTTATAGCACATGTAAAGTAGATTAATAGTTAACGGATAAAGGAACTAAAGAGGAAATGTCATTTTTTGGCTGATATAATAATTAAATATGTAAAAATCAATGAACTTCAACACACTGATTTAATCTGTTTCACAAACCTACCAGGTTGAAAAAATACCAAAGGTACCCAAGTTTAGAGAATGAGAATAAAACACTTTGACACAGTCTTCAACATGTGAAAGCTAAAAGGAGTTCTGCTGAGTAACACAATAATTTTCAGTCTTTTTAAAAAAAAATGTAAAAGAAAAAAGAGAAATAGTCCTGGGTAAAGATGCTGACCATGAGCGCCTCTGATTCAAGTCCTTCCCAGTCACTTTCCTCCCTTGGTTCCTGTTATCTCTCCACTGTAAACTCTAAAAATGTCCCTGTAGCATTAGTGCACCAGCATCCTTTACTTGATCCTGATCTCGAAGCAGAGGCAGTTGCAGGACTCACACTCCGGGGGCTGACAGGTGCAGGCGCAGTCCCAACATGCACACTGTGGGGAAACACACGAGACACAGGAGTTCACAATAAGATAAATATAAAAGCTCTGTATGGTAAGCTTTTTGCCTAGGGGGGCTAGATAGAAAGGTAGGTGTGTGTGTGTGTGTGTGTGTGTGTGTGTGTGTGTCGGGTGGGGTGGGTGGGTGGGTGGTGCCGGGAGTTTGTCCCGTTGTAGGGATAACTAGAAGCAAAATCTATAAACTCCATAAGAACCCATTTCTCACAAGCCACATACAGAACGTACTGACACTACAATCAGTCTCATCTCAGGCAGACCAATCAGGTGAAACTTGACTTTGTTCAAGACCGATTTGTGTGATTTGTTTGTCTCAAGAGTTTGACCCTTTAGAATCAGAATCAGAAACAGGTTCATGTATTTCCAAGTAGGTTTACACATACAAGGAAGTTGCTTTGGTGTTTAGGATGCATACATACAACACAATAAGAGAATGTAAGAAAAAGACCATGGAGTGTTTTCACAGACTTATTTGAGCTGCAAACAGTTGATAAAAATACAAATTTAAAGAGAAAAGGAAAGCTTTTTGAATATATACACATTGGTTTTAAGTCTTTGCATGTCAGAGAGACATACATACATAAGTGGCTAGCAAGGACAGGAAAGGGTAAATCCAATTTACGTAGATTTTTATTGCAGAACCGGAACTAAAATGAACCAATATTTGCCTCTAATGCTGTGGAAACTAGTCAAGTCTGAGTATTTTAATAGCCAGAAATCTCAAATTTGCGTGACGTAAGGCCCCTATTTACAAAGCCGTATGCAAAGATTAACTATTTAACATAATACAATGACAGTATGCTCAGCAGGAATGTGAAGAATTCATGATTACACCAGTAGTTATACTGTGTGCAGTATGTGGCGGAGACTTACAGAAGGAGAAGGGCAGGAAACGGCCCGACATGAGCGCAGGGTCGGCAGGCGACAGTCACACATCTCTGCTAAACTCTTACACTGCGCACATATGGACATTTCTGGACAGCAGTTACAGCACTTTGAAGAGCACCGGTCCTTTGAGAGAGAGAGAAAAAACATAATCACTTTCCACACTCCGTACAGATAACACTTAACACTTATTAAGCTGCGCATTACCTAATCGACTACAAACTGTGTTCAGGTGAGTTTTTTTTGTTTTCTTTTACACGCAAACTTTAGTTATTGAGGGTGGTGTACAAAAGACGAAGATAGATGTTTCTTTACTTAACTCTATATGATAATAAAACCCTTGAATCTTAAGATTAGATGCAGCATTGCCTACATGTTGTGTCCCTGTTAAATAACTTATAAATGATAATTAACCACTCTTAAGCCAGACCCTTTTTCTCAAATGTTACAATCACACCTGATAAAGAACTCAAATTATCTCAGATATCTTTCCTATAGTATTGAAAGCCTGAATAGATAGATTTGCAGATAATTAATAGCTGTGTTAGGAGAGCAAGGCTTATCTGGTGCTGCTTTTCAAACACCAGAGGGAGCCAACATCAAAGCCTTTACAACTTCAGCATAGTCCACTTTAATTACAGTTCCTCATGTGTCTACCTTTAGTGCAGGTTAAAGGTAACAACACGTATTCATTTTACATTTTACAAACTGCAGTAAGGGTAACAGGGCACCAACCTTTAGGCAGTATCTGATCCACAGCCCGATCCCCAGGACGATCATGTAGAGGCTCAGAGTGATCATCAGCACGGCAGGCAGAGGGATGGAGAGCTCCCAAATAGGCAGCACCTGAGGAACAGGACCAATGAAATATATAAGGATATGTCACTGAGCAGAGATTAGTGTATATTAATAAATCAGCATTTATTCTTACTGGCATCGTCTCTTCCTGAGAAGACATCTTTAACTGTCACAAGGCTCACATCTCTGGGGAATCTGGCAGGAGAAGAATAACAGATAGAACAGATACATTTATTTTGGCTTTAAAAAATCTCTTTAATTTTCTTCATGTGAAATGTTTAGTATAGTTATAAGTCTAAAGCATGTGCAGGTTTCTCAATGTTCTGTACTGTATTGTTCTTTTCTCTACAACATACAGTATGTGTAACAGCTGTAGTTACATTTCAGATATATATTAGATCATAAAACGAGATGAGCTCATACAATTCCACCAGCTTAAATGAGCTTGACCTGTAACAACCTTTTACAGTCTCTATGGTAACTAACAACATTAAAATGCTGGTCAGCAATGTCTCAATAATAATCTAATGTATAATGCAATACTTATATATGCACAATCAGTACTTCTACTTTCAATATGTTAAGGACATTTAGCTGATTATACTTCTGTTCTTATACCTGACTCATTTTAGTCACACCAAAATACTCCAAAATACTTATCTATGTAAAAGTACACAAGTAAGTTAACTGTGGCCGTAAAAAGGACTCAAGTATTTGTAGTAGGGGGGTCCCTTTGATGGGACAAAGTTGTTTTAAATGTTCGTGAAAGAAAGAAAAATACATTAATTGTATGTTTTATAAAAATGAACAAAGAATAACGTTACAGGAGAAGCATTAGCTAACAATGCTAATGTGCTAATGTCTCACCGTTCTGAATGGTCCTGTACTTTCATAAATGAGCCTTGTGTAATTAATATAAACGCTGGTATATGTGAAGTAAAGTCACATCACCATGTTACACTTTTGTATAAAAGTGTAAAACTAAGAGCGAAGCCTAAATGTGAAAACAAACGGGATGAGCTTCGGCGGAAGCTGCTGCGTTGCCATGGAATCAGAAGGGTCTTCTTCTTCTTTTTGTTTAATGGCGGGTGGCACCATCGCCACCTACTATGCTGGAGTGGGAAAAATTCAGTGAGCTACAAGTAAGAAAAAATAAAGAAAAATAACACAATTAAAAAACAAAAAGAAAACGAAATCCTCTTAATCAACCCAGTACTTTTGAAGAACTAAAATAAAGCTTTAAAGTTGTCCTTGTCGCAACTCAACAGGTTCTTAAGATTTAACATTACTACTCCACATTTCTTTAGCTTTCTCTTCAGTTTTTCTCTGTATGTTTTATATCTGGCAGTGACAGATAACATGTTTGGCCGTTTCTTCGTCTAAGCCACATTCACATGCTCCTGGTGGATGTTTCCCAATTAAATGCATTGTTTTAATCCTGTGTGCCCTAATCTCAGTCTTGTAATAATGTGTTGCTATTTCCTATTGTTTTAAAACCTCCCACTTTTTCCTGTAGGCTATTTTATAAAACAGTAGTCCTTTTTTCCCTTCATCCCACTGCTTTTGCCTCCATGATATGTTTCCGTATTATTGCTTCAGCTCGATTTTTACTAAAAAATAGCTTCTATAATTCTCTCCTGCTTAAGGTGTGGAACACCAGTGAGCTGTGGTGTTCCACAAGGAAGCATATTAGGTCAGTTACTGTTCCTAATTTATGCAAATGACATGTCATCAGCATGTGACTGCAACTTGTTCCTGTTCGCGGACGACTCAGCCCTGCTGGTCTCTGACAGGAGCAGATTGCAGGTTGAAAAAACCCTCAGCTCCGAGCTCGGCAGAATCTGCACCTGGCTCGCCGATAATAAATTATCATTACAACTGGGTAAAACAGAGTCCATTCTCTTCGGTTCGAAACATAATCTCAGCAAATCCGACGACTTCTCAGTTGCAGTGGGTGACATTATTGTCACAAGTAAGTAGGAAATTATACCTAGGATCTATTCTGGAGGCAAACCTCTCCTGTGACAAAATGGCATCCAATGTAATAAAAAAAGTCAATCAAAGAACTAGATTCCTATACCGGATCTCCTCTCTGGTAAACAAAAACACCCTGAAACTCTGGCAGGAGCACTCATTCAAGGGTAGGCCTACTATGACTATGCTTGCACGTCATGGTACCATAGCACCTCCAAGGCGCTAAAAATAAAACTTCAAACATCACAAAATAAACTGGTCAGACTACTGCTTGAACTTTCATCTAGAACCCACCTCACCTCTGCCCACTTTGACAACCTAGGATGGCTTAGAGTAGACGACAGATTACAGCTACTTGCAATGGGCCTGGTCTACAAGATACACTACACCTCTATGGTACCCGTGTACATGTCAAAATTCTTCCCAAAGGTCAAGGAATACCATGATCATAACACCAGAGGGAGCTCCACAAATCATTTAAAACCCAGATTTGGCACAAAAAAGGGGGAATAAACGTTTCGCAATTATGCCACATCAAGGTGGAACGCTCTTCCCACTACTGTAAAGGAAAGTAAAACTATACTTACCTTCAAAACCTCTCTTAAAGAGCACCTTCGGGGGAGAGCATTGCAAAACTGGCTCCGGTAATGGTACAAATCTCAACCTGTCGTACAATGGACAGCTTCCCCCCCCATCTATGGATATACTCGCATTTTAGACTCTGTTACTAACTGTATATCTGTAGACTTGGTATGTCTTAAATGTCCGGTTAGGATGTATTAGAACGAAATCTAAAATGAAAATTGTAAATAAGCCATCTGTATGTAAAAAACCACCTGTATGTAAATTGTAAATAAGCCATCTGTATGTCAAATATGTCTTATATGTCTTAAATGATATGATGAATTGGAAATGGGGGACCCTGATGTAAACAAGACGAAAGTCTTTCTCTGGTCTGCATCCCCTTAACAATTGTATGTTTTGAGCTGTACTGTACTGTACCCAATATACAAGCTGTTAATAAACTTTTCAATCAATCAATCAATCAATGCCCCTCTGGGCTGGAATCCCCAAATCTAATTTCTTTTTCAGTATGATGTAGCCTATATAATGACTCATATATGTCATAGTAGTAGGCTATGTCTAGTCTGTTTTGGGATGACATGAACTATAATCATATCAGGGCTAGCGAGTCTGAATATACTAGCCTTTTTAATTTGATGTTGTTCTATCCACTGCAATGCATTAACTATAGCCAACATCTCGACTATGTATAGAGATTATCTGGGGTTCTTATTTGTACGTTTATTTATATTGTATAACATAATGTAATGGATGGAATAATATAGTCAAATTGGCCCTCAGAAGCAGGGCCGCCCCTGGCCAACTTGTGGCCCCACGCAAAGTTATGTGATGAGACCCTCTGTCGACGGGGGGGTGCTAGTGGCGCACGCACCGGAGCCTCGCAGCGGTGAAACTGTGGCGCGCTTACGGTACGTCCACACGGCAGCGTCGCGTTGAAGCTTGCCGGTGGGCGTGTCTGGCGTGCGACCAACAACCAACCACATTAATCTCCCACCCCGGACACACAAGCACGCAGTTTGATTGGCTTGCGCTTGTACTGGCATATGATTCGATTGGCTGGCGCTTCCTCCAACGCTTGAAAAGTTGAACTTTTCTCAACTTTCGAAGCAAGCAACGGAAGGCAAAGTGACGCGACAGAACCACAATGCAGTTTGGCAAAGTGTGACGTCACCCCATTCAAAGTGAATGGGTAGGGTCTCCGTTGCAGCACGCAACGCTGCCGTGTGGACCTACCGTTGCAGTAATTGCGCCGCATATGCAGGGGCGCCGTAAGGGGGTGAACAGTTCTAAGTGCCAGTGACTGACAGGGGCCCAAACAATTTTAGAACATTAAAAAAAAAAAGTTTAAGTAACCAATGTGATTATCTTTTCATGTGGCCCAAAACCCCTGGCAGCGCCCCGGCGCATATGCGCATAAAGGTGCGCCGCATTTTTGTTTCGGACGAGGCTCCCTCCGCCAGGTGAGGCCCCACACAGTCTGCGTGATCTGCGTGTAGGGAGGGGCGGCCCTGCTCAGAAGGGACAAATAGTTTGTATACATTATTTTAGTTTTTACATTGTTTAAAAAATCATTCAGAATTAATAATTAAAACTTATTTTTCTTCTTCTTTAACATTTCATTTTTGTAATTCATTCACTATGGCAATCTGAAATAACAAATCTTATCCTCCAGGATTAACAGACACCGCATCACACATAAAACATTTATTTGGGATAATAACATCTCAGTTTAGGTGGTCCTTCCTTCTGAATTATAATACAATATTGGCAACCATATTAAAAATTACATTTTTCTGGTTCAAATTGACAGAAAAAAACATGTGTTTAACAAATGATAAAAAAGGGAAATGTTGATGTTTGTGATGTTGGTAATTTTCCTGACGATATGATTACGTCACTTTTCCAGTAAAGTTGAGAAACGTTCGGGCGTGGCTGCAGTCGACGTCTCGCCCGTACGTAAACTACGTAGTGACGTTGTTTTCAGGGCGGGGCTATAAAGCCTTGTTTTTCAGTGTAACTGGCTGAAAGAACTCCATTTTGTGAGAGCCGTCGAAGCAGACCCTGCACCGTCCCCGTCAACAGGAGACACTTAGAAGCGACAAATAAGTCACAGTTAGCCGACGAACCGCTCGTTTATCAAGTTATTATCCGAAAGGAAAGCAAATCTTATCGTATGTCCGATATCCAGAACCTCCAAACTTTTGGTAAGTGATTTATTTTATCAAACTAACCCGGCAGACATTAAGATTGGGGGGGGGGGGGGGAAGGGCGAGAGCTAGCGGAGCTAACGGCTAGCTTCTGCCTCACGTCGAGGTTTTAATTGCGTCGAAAATGGATTTAACTTTATCACAGTTCTTGTTTCTTAAATCCATCGATTTGAGATGGATCAGTAAAGCCAGACATATTTAAGTCTACTACTTTGAACTATTCATGGATAATGTAACCGACTAGCCGGCCATTTGCTAAAACTGCCGCCATTAGGCCTACATTCTGTTACGTTAGCTTATTCTTCACTGTGTTACCGTTGAGATGGAACTATTGTGATGTGGGCTGATTTCAACATACATTCATTCAACTTGATTATAGATGTATTCTTAGACTTCTAATTTACGCACCGAAAATGAAAGTTGTCGTGTCACGATTGTGGTTTTAATGCACAATCGTGTCTGCTGGCTAGCTATGGCTGCCAGGCTTTAGTAAGCAGTATATTTAGCTCGGTACGTCTGCGCAGTTCTTCATCCGAAAAATGGCCCTCCCTAAGAGCTCTGCCAGATATCAACACAAAGAAAATGTTGTTTGGCCAAATCCGTCATACATATTTCTTGAATTGTAACTTTTCTTATGGCGATGCATTAAAGAGGTTTTTCTTGAGCTTAGTCTATTTTTCTTAACGTCTTATGTCATTGTTTACCTCACCAGACCCCTTTGCTGATGCAACTAAGGGTGATGACCGCCTCCCAGCCGGGACAGAGGACTATATCCACATAAGAATCCAACAGCGGAACGGCAGGAAGACCCTCACTACTGTCCAGGGCATTGGCTCCCGCTATGACAAGAAGAAGCTAGTAAAGGCCTTCAAGAAGGTATGGAGAAATATAATGCTTTCCATTAATCTGCCCTTTATCAGTAATCTTCTTACCTTCAATCAAAAATAAATAATCAGTGTTGTGATAGTAAGAACTGCCTTGTTCTAGCAAATGCTTAAAGATGGATTTTTTCCAGTCTATTTAACCACTTTTTTTTTTTTACCTTAACAGAAATTTGCGTGCAATGGGACAGTGATTGAGCACCCAGAGTATGGTGAAGTGATCCAGCTTCAGGGAGACCAGCGCAAAAATATCTGCCAGTTCCTTATTGAGGTAAGCCTTGTTATTATGCTATGCATAATTGTTTGAGTGTTAAGGTACATACTGAGTGCCAAAGGGCGTTTTCTTTTTTTGATCTCTTATTTCTTCTTTGCAGATTGACCTGGCCAAGGAGGAGCAGCTCAA